TAATTTTATGACTGTATTCTCGTAATTTTATTACTATTCTCGTTGCGAATTTATTCTTGTAATATTACGACTTTATCCTCATATTTTTATGACTTTATTCACGTAATGTTACGACATTATTCTGTACGAATTTATTTGTATGTGTAAAGTCCAGCTAATCTAAAATCTTACATATCTTGTATCATTATGATGTGGCTTTCTATCATTCTATCAAAGAAGACAATAATAAGACAAAATTTTTCTGATTCTTAAATTCTATTCCTGGGAATCATTTACATAAGTGGTAACATCAATATTCCTTGGTTCTGTTTAGGTTGACGGGGAGGAAAGGGAGTACAGCGAGGATGGTTGTGTGAAGGAGCTGTCAGCCGTGACTGTGCCTGAGTCTGCTTTGAAGATTAGCCACACATCACCTGACATCCCGCTGGAGACCCAAACTAAAGTGGAGAAAAACCAGGTCCACACGCTGGCCAGGGACAGAGTTCAGAGGCAGATTACTGAACCCACATCATCTGTACGGTTAGTGCTAATCAGTCCTTGAAAATTTCCCTGAGAACTTGTTGCTGCTTAGGGGTCGTTTCAGCCAAATTAGTTTCCTTAAAAACACTCATTGGAAAATGATTGTCCATCATTTGAAGTATAGAAAAAAAAAACAATTAAGTCTGATTTTATGAGGTGAAAAACACATTTGGTACAGCTGTGGCTCATTTGGCTAAACTGAGCCAAAATAACAGCTCCTCTTGGCACACGTCTCATCTAAACATTTATATGGGCAGTTTAGATTTCATTAAGTCTTTTGTTTTTTAATACAATAGATGTTTCTTGTGGGATGTCAGAAGGATTTTCATACTTAACATAAATAGTTAAAAGAAAAACATTTAGAATACACTGTTACTGAAAAGGCTGGTTACTCCCTTATCAATTTTCTTTTACACCCTTATAATTTTATCTAATTTTTTTATTTATTTTTTTTTTTATATGTAGTCATTATATGTTTTATGTTTTGGATATAACCATCACATCCTTTTTCCACTCTGATCCCAAACACAAATTTACAGAAAAGGGAAAGTATTAACTGGCGTTGTCATTTGATGTTTGTAATTGCTATGTAACTACATAGAATTAAACAGAGTAACTGCCTCATAAAATGGGGGAAATGTTTACCACAATTGTGTCACAAGATTATTTTAAGATTTCATATTCACTGGTTGATTTGGGAATTCACTGTTAATGAATGATAGATCTGAAGTACCATATGACTAACATACCTTTTTATAGGCACAACTCCATTCGCCGTCAATTGAATCTGTCCAATCCCGACTTCAACCCAGCTCAGTTTCAACGCCAAGACTCCCTCTCTGGTTTGGGTCGAATAAAACCAGAGCTGTACAAACAGCGGTCGATAGATGCCGAAGACGGACGTCGGACCGACAGCTGTGGGCGTCTTCACTTCATCCTGAAGTTTGACTTTGACCTGGAGCAGCTTATTGTGAAGATCCACAAGGCCCAGGACTTGCCTGCCAAGGACTTCTCAGGGACCTCGGACCCTTATGTCAAGATCTACCTTCTGCCTGATCGCAAAACGAAGCACCAGACCAAGGTGCACCGCAAGACTCTCAACCCAGTGTTTGACGAGGTGTTTTTGTTTCCTGTGGCATATGCTGAGCTGTCGAGCCGCAAGCTGCACTTTAGTGTCTATGACTTTGACAGGTTCTCACGGCACGATCTGATTGGCCAAGTGGTGGTGGACAACTTTCTGGAACTGGCTGACTTTCCTCGGGAAACAAAACTGTGCCGGGATGTACAATACGTGACCTCGGTGAGAACCCCTCTTTCTTTCTCTATATTTTTTCATTTTTGTCTGCTGTTAAATTGATCTCAGCTGTTTTATTTTTGGCATATACTCCATTAAAATAACAAATTTATGGTCATTAGGTTTCACATACGTTGTTAGCTTAAAATGGTATATCCCAATTAGTTTTTATGCCCAGAAAAATTTGCTGAAACTATTCAAAAGATAAAAACTCTTCCATACATTTTACAGGAACAGATGGGGAAATACATCAGCTGCCCTGCATCTTATTTTCACTCCGAGTGGAGCTCATCTGTGGTTTTCAGAGGCGAGGACAGAGAAATATACTTAGACACAGTTAATGTTTAATGAAAGCAGTGGGAAACACATGAGGCGGTAGTGACCCAGATCTTAGACTGGGGTTGAGATACAGGAACACCGTCTATATTACATTATCCACTTTAAAAAAACTAGGAAGAGAAATAAGATTTCCTGTTAATTTAGCTTAGCATGATTGGGATTGTTTAATTTCTTTTAAGCAGCATCTGATAATAATACTCAATGACTCTGAATATTGAAAACAACATCCATTTATTGGAACATTTTAGGACGATCAAAGCCGAATGTTGTGCATATTCAGTTATTATTGTGCAAATATAAGTAGGCAGCATAATGGGTCATTTTGGAAGAGGATCCAGCTGTAACATTATACAAAAAAACATTATACAGAAAGATAAGAAGCACTACTAAATAACTCAGTGTTTCTGTTTCTTTGCTCTTTGTACATTGTTAAAAAATGCAGCATTATTTCCTGATATGAGGCTAATTTCAGACTACCTGCAGGCCACATTGGACAATTGTTTTTCAACCGGATGCAACCTATTTATAATTGCAGTGGCTGTTTCCTATTGAACAATAAAATAAGATTAAAAACTAAATTGGTTTGTAGTCGAAAAAACAAATCTAAAATATTTAGTTTTACATTGATTTTTTTTTCTGGCAAAGTGCTTTCAGTACTCTTTTGTTCTACTACAGGTGTTTTTGGTTAATGACCCTAACACAATAATGATATCACTTGTATTTTAAATTTTAAATCCCTCAGAGAAATCCTGTTCCACAGTAAACCTTTAGAGCATAAGATTCTGCTTCGTCTATATTTTAATCCAGCTCCAAAAATATCCTGCAGGGCTTGCTTTTTTATTTGTTTGACATAAATGTTTACACATAATTTAAACAAGTAACAAATTCTAGTACAAATATCCTATTTATATCCTATAAATATTAGCTATTTTATGAAATTTGATCATTTCAAAAACTGTATTATCTGAACACTCATAACAACAGTTTGGGATTTTCGCATATTTTCATCTTGTTTTGATATCTCATATCAAGAAAGTGGACCTAATGTTAAGCTGGCACAAAAGCTGATACAACCCAGAGAAGAAAGTTAAGAGGCCAAAGAAAAGAAACATTGGAAAAGTAAGATGAAAGAGTAAAGATAGAGAAAAGCCACCATTAAAGGGGATAAGCATGCTGTAAATTTGATTTTTATTTTCATAACTTTTGGATTACCACTGAAAAAAGTGGGTAAGAAGAGGTAGAGAACAAGAAAAAAATCTCAGTGCATGGAAACACAGAGGTAATAGACAGGTAACAAGCAATTTTACATATTCCTCACTTTCAAATCAACACTCAGAACAATATTTTCAGGACTGCAATAAATAATACATTTTGATTCATACAAAAATGCAACAATCTAAAAAATAATATGCAATATAAAAAGTATGCTATAGAGAGATGCTAGAGAAGAATAATCCGTAATAACGTCCATGCATTCCCTACAATTACAATCCCTGAATTAAATATCATGAAATTTCTAATCAAATGATTGGACCGTTTGTACTGCAGGTGATGCACAAATATAATGTTGCTAGGAAACAGCCATTGTAGATAAGATCTGGCCCTTTCCGAATGTGAGAGTCTTCCAAATCCATTCCTCATCCTATTTAAAAGAGAATAAAAAGCATACCACACACAGTTACTAAAGGCAAATATGTTGGGGAATGAATTATCCATGGCAACAGCTTATTAGTCAAACCACACCTGGAGAATTAGAAAGAATGTCTTTAGTCACCAACAGTATATGTAGCATGCTTTCCACTAGTACTCTTCTTTTAGGTGCCTTAAATATTAAAGAAATATATGGTTTTAATAATTGCACATATGAAACATAACAAAACATGTAGAGATTTTCAGGTTTGTTGTTTGTAACCATGCAAGCCTTAGACCTGATTAAATAAACTACACAGAAAACATAAAAACATAGTTTTGTCGAATGGGGCTTTGTGGAAAGTGTAGAATAGAAATTTATCATTCATCTTCTACTTCAAACACAATACCATGCCATGTTAATATATACAGCAATTTAAAAACACCACATGGTTGACCAAACAAAAAAAACAACTTTAAAATGAATCTTGACATGAATGGATAATGTCAGTATTTATCTCATACTGAAGTGTATTTCTTTGTATCTGTTAAAAATCCCACTGCAAGATAAGTGCCCTGGGTGATTCCTCTTAAAAGAGAGGTGAAAAATTCAGCCGAGGTGTTATAAAGCATGGATTACTGATTTCAAATATGTTCTGAAAACAAAAGGCTTAATCATAGTAAGACATTAAACATGAAATAATGATGAGCTCAACACAGAGTAGATGTGGGTATCAAACCTAATGGCCTATTTTAACCTTGAAGTGGGTGATACCAAGTTTCAAATGAGGGGATTAGAGCACTGGTGGTCACTGGCCCCCCACGTTTCCTCTCTACCCAGGATGACATAAGGTCCCACCTGACATTTACTGCTCTCTCTCAGGCCCAATCCCAAACCACCCCTTAAGCACTACCCCTACCAAGTGTCACTCCCAATGAAGTCACACTTAAAGCTGTGGAGGAAGCTTTGATTGAAGGTGGGGGGTATCAATGAGAACAGAACGCCCTCTTCCCTCCAATAGAAAAGAAAAGTAGTCATTACTGTTGCAACATAGTGATGCCCAACGTGCATGGCTGAAACACTGTTCAGGTTGACATGACATCAAACCTTTCTTGAAAATAAATTAAGACGGTCAAATAAAACAACCTACTTACTGCAGCAAACCAGTGGAACTTCAGCCCCACCATTAGTTCGTCGTTACACCCAATGCCAAATTCCAGCAAGCCAGCACTGTTGCAGACTCACTGTTTAAGGGTTGAATGGTCCCCACCCACTATTTGGTTTGGGACGGCCCTTATGGGCTGGTTATACTCCCGCAGCAGTGTTTCTCAGTGAGATAACGCAAGAAATTTTTGATTAATGCCCAATATTGAAGCATGGTCTGGGCTATTTTATTACACGCCACAAAGCAAGAGAGACAATTAGGAACTAGCTGTGGGTCTAGATACGGCCAAGGTGGTGAGGAAGTGGGAGCAAGTTTGTCCAACAACAGCGGGACATGAGGGCCAAAAAGAGTTGGGATCCAGGCGGAAAAAGGGTCCCAGATTGATCACGCACCTCGCTCAAAACAAGCCAGTAAGGTACCAGACAGGAAATACCCATGAGTAGAGTGGATGTAGATTAGACCAATCAGAGGCCTCCTGTCTACGGTTACCTACAATTTGTTAGAGGTGCAACAGAGTGTCTACTCTCTTCTTTTCACAGCATGAAAAAAGCATGAAAAAAAGCAAAATAACACCTAAATATATACATTTTCTTGTAAAAACAATTGTGGCTGTTTTGCTTGTTTAAAGTTGCTGTTCAGTTACGTTGCTATAGGCAACTATTGAAATTGCAACAAAGTAAAAAAATATTGATTGAATGACCAAATACTACTGCAGTGAAATTTTGTCTAAGCATCAACTGAGTTGATGACATCAAACACAGCAGATGTTGGGAAGCCAGCGGTTGCCAAAATAACACAGTTAAACACTGGTTTACCTCGGTTGTTTTGCTATGGAACAAATATATGGAGGTTTTTCTTTTTGTATTATCAGAATTGTTGGCAGAGAGAGCGGCTAGAGTTTAGGATATGATCGACAGCCATGTCTCAATGAAACACAACAATACTGCATTCCCAATACTCTGGTCCGGTCCTTGTTAGTAATACAACTAGTTTCCAATGACCTCACATTTCTCCTAAAGATTGAAGTAAAAGATTCCCCTATTCTCTCACTCCTCTTTGCTTCTGCTCTGTATCCACAACATTTCATTTTCAACTAATCTGCTCATCTAGAAATAAGACATTGAAGCATTTATTGAGCATTTAGGACAAAAAACAGTGTTGCTCCTGTTACGCATTATAACAATTGTCCTTTCAACTAAACAGCATCCAGCACCTTCTCCAATTATTCCTCCTTTAGGTCTTGGTTTAAAACTTTGAATTTCTCCAATAAATGAGGAATTAAAGGTTCCTGCCTAGTTACCACAACTTTTTAAAAAGTAAAACTTTTATTCAGAACACACGAAAGACCCTACTGTCAGCACTTCCGTTATTGCATTTAGTAGAAACAATGCACATTGTGCGTGGGTGTATTTGATTTGTGTCACTGAGCTTGTGCCACTAAATGTGTTACATTAAATCACTAGTAATTATAGATTCAGGCAAAACTGATTAGCCCATAAAAACCGGGACAGAAAAGGACTGTCATTAATGCGGCTGAGAGGGACAAGCACTTGGCAGTTTCCTATTATTCTGTCTTGATTGTTGGGCTTTCCATTTGTTATCTTTTTAATGGCAGAATTGACACCATCAAACCAAGCTTGTAATTTTCTCCACTTCTTCCATAAGTAGTTTGGCTTTGTGTTCAGTAAAATTACGTTTCATATTTGCTGGTGTTTAAACTCCCACAACTAATCTGTTCATGCTTCTACACAAGAATTCCCTGCAGTCCCTTATAAACAAAGGGAATACTCATGGATGCATAGTTTCAGGGCATCCATCACGCTTATCCCTGCTGGGGTCTGCTATCTCCAGCTATCACCCTGCACAGGTCAC